CCCTATCTCTAAGGGAGAGCCCAGCCACCCTGCGGAGGAAACCCATTTCGGCCGCTTGTATCCGGTTTTCAGACATGTCAGTGGGATTTATGTTTTTTTTATGTGAGTGCAGGTATTAGGGTTTGTGTACACAGACAGGTGTGTGCACGGGTGTGTGTTATTTTTGGGTTTATTTTTTTGTGTGTAATTAGTCCAAGTGGTTTTATTTATCTATTTATTTTTTGTTTGTAGATATGGGAAAGGGTATATTGAGTTATATAGATTAAATGATTTCACATGTCTGGAATAAATCATTAAAATCATTTAAAAATCAACTTCCGCCCCTCTTGTGAAATCTTGTTGACTCGAGACAATTTTATATATCCGCGTAACCCGGGAGGGCGGTGTCGTCTCTCGTWTTGTTCAGTTCACTCAACGGCAAGTCCCCAGACACAAATCGAACGCACTGTGAGTTTAGAGGAAGAAGAGACTCCTCTGACATTAAATGTTGTTTTTATCAGCAGCTTGTCATGTGAACAGCTAACCCGTCCGACAGGATCGTTCTGCTGCTGAGCTCGGATCAAAATGAGAACTTTACYCGGTTCTGTCCTCTTCCTGGTGCTGCTCGGTGTCAGCAGAGCCAGGTACGAACCGAACTGGGACTCCATCGACTCGAGACCGCTGCCAGCTTGGTTCGACCAGGCGAAGTTCGGCATCTTCATCCACTGGGGGGTGTTTTCTGTCCCGAGCTTCGGCAGTGAGTGGTTCTGGTGAGCTCTTTGTGTTTGACTTCACCTGGAAGCTGGGTGCAGGAACATCCGGGTAACTTTACCTTCATGAATCCTGACAGGTGTAAAATAATTTAGAAACATTCACTTTTAAAACACCTGGCTTCTTATAGAAGAGTAAACATCACTTTAACATTAATCAAATATTTGATAAATTGGGTTTTTTGTTGAATGACTGCTGAAAAGTTAAAACTAAATGACAAAAAGGACAAAACACACTAACTAAAAGTAGGGGGAAGCTAGCTAAAGTAACAAAAGTCTAACTCAAAGCTAAAAGTAGGGAAAAGCCAGAAGTAGCAGAACAACCCTGGGGCACATTTGAAAGAGAAAAATGTTTTTGAAGTAATATATCAGGTCCCAGTGTGTTTCTGAGTGGAAAATAAATAAATTATAAATGTTGTAAAAAGTAAAAGTCATAGCACCTGCCTCGTAAATGAGCTGAACATTTTGATATAGTGGCAAAAGTAAAACAAGTTCAGGTTTATTTGCCATTTGCAGTAGAAAAACTACATTAGAAAAACAGTTGCCAGAGCTGACATCCTCAGCATGCACACATAGACAAATTAAAACATTATTAAAATAATTAAAATTAAAAACACTGAACACAGAACCGCTCATCTGCAACAGACTATCATCAGATGGTCTCCTGTCCTGGACCAGTCCTGGACCAGTTCTTCTGTGTTTGTCTGTGTCTCTTTCCTGTCCTCCAA